TGTCTGATAAAGCACACGTGAGATTAAACGAAAGTCTCCCTTTTAATCTGACATTTACATGTATGCATTTAGCAGATGCTTTTAGCCAAAATCTGAATGCAGTCTAGAATAAATAATTAAGATATTAAAGAGCTCCTATTTATCTGTTTTTTTTCTTTTCTTTGGGTTGTCCCCTTTATTTAATTTTCCTCTTTCATATGTGGAAATACCCAGCTGCTAGGTGCTACAATATAAATAATTCTTAGTATGTCTGTATATATACATATAGGGAAGGTAGTGAGGCTGACAGCCTGTTTTACCGCAAAGAGTTTTCACTTTTGGCTTGTGGATAGATGCAATAGTTTGCAAGAAGGAGACCTGCGTCATATGTTGTAAAGACTGAAAATCTGATTAACCTACTTTAGGGGAAAAAGTGAAATATTAAGGGCTTGATGCCCGATTGCCCAGAAAGTCCAGCAGTTGATTCAAAAATGAAGTTGATACATGATTCACTAAAATGTAAGCAGGGCATTGTGGCAATGATAATAGCCTCTGCTTATAAAGAGTACTGTAGCAGACAAATAATGTTGTAAATTAATGGATTAATCTGTTGCAACATATTAAGGAAATGTCTGACTCATATTTTGCTTAAGTAAATCCAGTTTTAAAAATTTTTGCATTGTGAATTTGACACTTAAGAATGATTTCCTCTCTATTTAACATTACTGTAATACAATAAAATCTCATTCTCATTACAAAAAATAATTTATTATTCATATATAGTATTTGTTATACTGCCTTTATTTGCTAATTTTAATGTAAATTTTATTGCTGATTTTATTATTACTGGATGTCAGTAGTAAGAATATAAGAGAATTACACACATAACAACAATTCTCTTCATGCAAAATATAATTTCTTAAAGTATTTCTTTTGATTTTGGGGTGAATTGTGACCAGGACATATTGTAGTGAGACTCACCCTGTAGAATAGTACTAGCTTTTAGTGAGATGTAGGTTTATTATTTGATAAATGTATTGTTATATACAGTGGGTACGGAAAGTATTCAGACCCCCTTAAATTTTTCACTCTTTGTTATATTGCAGCCGCATAACAACAATTCTCTTCATGCAAAATATAATTTCTTAAAGTATTTCTTTTGATTTTGGGGTGAATTGTGACCAGGACATATTGTAGTGAGACTCACCCTGTAGAATAGTACTAGCTTTTAGTGAGATGTAGGTTTATTATTTGATAAATGTATTGTTATATACAGTATAGTAAAAGGGCAGGGGTAAGAACGAGAGAGAGAGAGAGGGTGGAATAAAATTACCACTATTTATTTACCTTCATGTATGTCATAAACCATAATGCATTGTGCAGCTTCTAGACAGATTCACAGTTGCTATGGAGATTTTCATAAATTCTTCAGGATTAGCAGAAATGGCTCTTTTCTGCCAGCAGGAAGAGGGAGGCGGTCTATTTTTTGCTGATTATTACAGGCAGTCCATTTATGTGATGCTTTTGGGATTGTTAAAAGTATGTGCTTTTCATGTTGCATCTCTAAATACCATAAACAAGGCAGAGCTCTGAGAGAGATGAGAGGAGAATTTAGTGCCAAGAGAGTAACTACTTTTCATTCTATTTCTTTTTCACCTTTTTATGTGATTTACTTCAAAATGTGCACCACAACCAGATGATCATTAAATATATTTGATGTAACAGCTCTCAAAGCTTGTGTTTTAAAGGTTCCCAAAGTTTGGTGCTTCTGCTCCTGTTTTGTTTGTGGAACATTTCCTTTCCTTAATTAAGGCAAACTTTAGTTTTTTTACTCGCCACTTCACAGACCTTTGGATGTGATGTGAATATCAAGTGGCTCTTGAGCTAAGACCCCGATGCTGAAGCATTTAAACTCAAGTTATGTGAGGCTGAAATCTGGGATTTTTATTTTTAAGCCTGTTTCGTCCTCCCTAGCAGAACAAAGTAAAAAGGTTGTGGGTAAACAGAGAGTACTTTGAAGGCTGTGATACAAGCACTTCTCTAGTATTAAGAATGAAAGTGTGAAAGTATAGTACATATGTCAGTGAAGGTAATGGTTAACTCTGGTAAAGAGCTGAAACAAGATTTGAGTGGAAAACTGAGAACAATTCGAGTTGGTGTGTTTAAGATGCATGCACATGCATATGTAAGCACACACATTGTGTTTTTCCTGATCTTATTCTTTCTCTCCCACACACGTGCAAACACATATTCGTTTTTCACCATTTTGTTTCTTTGTCTAAACATATTCTTTGCTTTAAATATATCTTTAGTCACAGTAAACTAGGATAGGAGAAATTATTTTAACACACACATTACACTTTGACCCTTAGTAGCCTATTACTTTCTCTGACGGGGCCAGTTGTGTTCCTGCCCCACCCCTGGATTCTTGCATTTCTCCAAAGGGGCTTCTGAATACACTGTCCCGCTCACCATGGACACAGACATCATAGATCAATGTCAAACATGCAGTTTTCTTGATTTGCTTCATATTAAAGCACCAAGGGTATTGAACCCAAGGGCTATTTGCAATAAAATGATAGTAAGTTGACATGAACCGTTTGACCTTAATGTTGCATTTTGTTGGCTGGCTGGGTTCCCATCATCATCTACACTTTTACAACATTTGCATTTGATTAGCCTTAACATAATCACCTAAAGACTGTTTGCGCAATAGCCGAAATGCTGCACATTCAAAGAGAGGCAGGCGAATTAGTCATGGACAATGACTCAATGGTAATGTTTTCTGCCTACATCCTGATTTTAGTCACTAATTTTATTTTAATTTCTTTGTTTTTTACTTCATTTATGGATTTTAATGTTCATATATCTATAAATCTCTCTCTCTCTCTCTCTCTCTCTCTCTCTCTCTCTCTCTCTCAATATATATATTTGTAATTGGTTTTGATTGCTTCTATTTTCCTCATTTGTTAGTCGTTTTGGATAAAAGCGTCTGCTAAATGACTAAATGCGAATTAATTTTAACTTTGAATGTACAAACTGGTCCAAATTTGGCTAGGAATTTTTTTTTTTTTAAATTAAAAGTACCCTAACCTATGAAACTATAAAATCAGAGTCATGCTTTGCGCAAATGACATGAATTTGTTTTCTGCCTCCATCCTTGTCTTAAACTTTAAAAAAGACAAAGTTAATTTAATTTAATTGTGCTTACATTTTATTATTTTTAGTGCTGTCAAATGATTACTTGTGATTAATCGCATCCAAAATAAAAGTTTTTGTTTACATAATATATGTGTGTGTACTGTGTATATTTATTATGTATATATAAATACACACACATACAATATACATTTTGAAAATATTTACATGGATTTACATGTATATATTTATATAATTTATATTATATACAGTAAATATATATATACACACATTTATACATATATACGCATACATTTATAATATATAAACATAACATATTTTTCTTAATTATATACATGCATATGTGTGTATTTATATATACATAATAAATATACACAGTACACATATACTGTATATTATGTAAAAATAACTTTTATTTTGGATGCGATTAATCGCAAATAATCGTTCGACAGCACTAATTGTTTTTTATCTTATTTTATTTTACTACAAGTTAGTCCAGTCTTTAGCAAACTTGAGTCACATGACCTTACTGCAAAAACAATTACCAAATTTTTTTTTTTTATTTATGGATTTTAATGTTTATATATCTATATATCTCTCTCTCTCTCTCTCTCTCTCTCTCTCTCTCTCTCTCTCTCTCTCTCTCAATATATATATTTGTAATTGGTTTTGATTGCTTCTATTTTCCTCATTTGTTAGTCGTTTTGGATAAAAGCGTCTGCTAAATGACTAAATGCTAATTAATTTTAACTTTGAATGTACAAACTGGTCCAAATTTGGCTAGGAATTTTTTTTTTTTTAAATTAAAAGTACCCTAACCTATGAAACTATAAAATCAGAGTCATGCTTTGCGCAAATGACATGAATTTGTTTTCTGCCTCCATCCTTGTCTTAAACTTTAAAAAAGACAAAGTTAATTTAATTTAATTGTGCTTACATTTTATTATTTTTAGTGCTGTCAAATGATTACTTGTGATTAATCGCATCCAAAATAAAAGTTTTTGTTTACATAATATATGTGTGTGTACTGTGTATATTTATTATGTATATATAAATACACACACATACAATATACATTTTGAAAATATTTACATGGATTTACATGTATATTTTTATATAATTTATATTATATACAGTAAATATATATATACACACATTTATACATATATACGCATACATTTATAATATATAAACATAACATATTTTTCTTAATTATATACATGCATATGTGTGTATTTATATATACATAATAAATATACACAGTACACATATACTGTATATTATGTAAAAATAACTTTTATTTTGGATGCGATTAATCGCAAATAATCGTTCGACAGCACTAATTGTTTTTTATCTTATTTTATTTTACTACAAGTTAGTCCAGTCTTTAGCAAACTTGAGTCACATGACCTTACTGCAAAAACAATTACCAAATAGATTTTTGAAATTCAAACTTTTATCAGTAAATTTAATAGTAAAAAAGCAAATAGAAAGTGGACCTGTGTATTTTCAATGCTTTTGTGTACTGAAATTATAATGCCCCCAAATGAAAAGTTGGTAAAAGTGGTCCAAACTTGGCTAGAAACTTTTTTGTCAGCTATATTAATTGACATTGACCTTGCGGGGGGAAAATAAATGGGCAGTTTGAATGTTGATTCAGATATGTGCCTGATAAGGTGGATTTGCTCACCAGCAAAACTAACCTAATAAAGACGTTTGGTCAAAAAAAGTCCTGCTGGTTAAGCAAGTAGGGGGCACCAGCACCTCAGCCCCCAAAACACTGGTCAATGATAGCAAAGCAGTGGCGAATAAGAGGAATCTGTAAATTAGAATTACAACAATTATATGTTGTCTTTTCTCAGGCGGTGTATTATGTACAGTCGCTGATCTCTGAGATGGCCGTGTGGGCCCGACAGGCCCAAACATCCCACCTGCAGTGCTGCCTCTACCTTATCCAGGTCCAGCGGCCCACCCTGAGTGTCTGATCGGCCCAGCCCTGCTAACACCCACCCTGGGCTTCCCTCTCATCGGGCCACCTGGCTTCACTCCGGGCCCACCATGGGAGGATGCCTCTCCAAACCCAAACCAGGTGATGAACACACTTATGTAGAAAACCCTTAGTCTGTGTAGCGCGCCCTGTTGATTAAATCCTGTAATAATTGCAGCTTGTGTCTCCACCTATATATAGGTCAGTTAAAGTGGCTCCTGACTGCTGTTGTGATGTGGCTTTCCTTTAGTGCTGGAGGAATTTTAATGCTCTTAATTGCTCTGTGTTCAAGAGGATTAGACAGTGCAATATGAGTTGGGTTTCGAATGTTTCACAATGTATCGCTCTTTCTCTTCTATGGCGGCTGGGGGAGGGGGTACTACTGAGGGGTTCCGAAATGACTTTCATCTGACCAAAGGGCATAAGAAGCAGGCCCTCAGCACATTTTTCCAGCCAGAGAGAAAGCTAGAGTGAGACCAGGCTGTAGTGGAAGCACATTTCACAATCACTTTCTAAAAAGACTGTGTTCATTAACGGTGCTCAGCTTCCAATGTTCTTCTCCAAGCTGTGTTTGAACTCGGAATGCTATTTCTACACAGAAATAGCACTGTATTTGTTATGTACTTGACATTACATTATAGTGTCTTAAGGCCTGTTCACACCAAGAACAATTACTAAACTGTTAGCAACATATTTAAAGATGGCAGTGGTTTGCATTTAAATTTAGCCAAACAAATCAATTAGTTTGTATAGACAAAAAGTATAGAAAATTACAATTATTCTCTTGTACTTATATCAAGCAATTTTTTTTTACAGTAGAGGTCAAAGTTGAGCTCACTCTTTTGGACAAAGAGAAAGAGGTGGACCTGATGTCTCCTAATGGAAAGGCCAGTCCATTTTCAGAATGCAGACTCAACGGATCTCTGGGACACTGTTCAGACGAGGACACCATGACACTGCGGCCACACCGTAAACACAGAGATTACATAGAAGCATCTGTCTGCCATGTAAAAGACCTTGAGAATGGACAGTAAGTTCTTGATTTCAATACAATACCGAATTGTCGTGTTCCTGTATATTTGAGCGCATGTTTGTGTGCTATTTAGAGCTAATGAAAAAAAAGATTTAAATGATTTTTTAAATAAATAGGCCTTACCTTTTTTTTTTGCTATTTTAATTGATTTCCTATTAAAACAGGATGTTGAGTCAGTAAATGAGCTATTATCCTTTAGTTTACATCAGAATACAGCAAAACCACAGTTTGTTTTCTACACACTATTGCTAGTTGGTTGCAGGTGGTATTAGGTAGAGGGACATTCTCATTCTATAGAGCAATTTATTGGACTAAAGTCTGCATATGATAATGAGCATAAAGTGATGTCATCAATATTTTGGTTTGTGCGCCAGGAAGAGAAAGACTGTCCATTTTAAATGCATATATCTGGAAAAATGTAACTTTGCCAACCTTTAAGAATACACTAGTATATGGATTGGGATCAAAGATAAGAAGCATGAACTAAAACCCACAAAAAAATCGATTTAAGGGTTTTTAATGCTGATATATGTCAGTTTTCCCCCTCTTTGTGACACATAAATTACATCAGCTGTAACCTTTGAATGCATCTATTGGGTTGAGTTTTGGATGTTAAATCTGTGCTGATCTTATGTGTGTGTTTGGCAGAATCCGTGAGGTGGATTTGGGGGCTGGTCGTGCTCTGCTCATTAAGGAGCATGGAGAATTCTTTGCCATGGGACACAAGTGCCCACATTATGGGGCTCCACTGGTCAAAGGTGAGGGACGTCCTGTAGAGCACTCCTGGTTCTCTGCATTCCATAGCTTGGGATACCAACAGCTCTCAGAGGATTTTATAACACACTGCTAATAATATAAGTGTGCTATAAGCTTAATCAAATAGCAAAACACATTGTTCTTTCAGTAATACAGTGTATTTAAAAACAATTCTCTTCCAGGTGTGCTATCAAAAGGGCATGTGCGATGTCCATGGCATGGGGCATGTTTTAACATCACTACGGGTGATATTGAGGATTTTCCTGGCCTAGACAGTTTGCCTACCTTCCAGGTAAAACACGTTCCTCTTCAACCTCTCCAGAAGTTCCTCTCCGAACTTTCACTGCATCCACTCCAAAAGTATTGATTTGCAAATAAATAAATAATTTATAACATAATGCATATTATGTGTATAGAATTATCCTAAGCCTACCAAGAGTTTGGCTTGTAATGTTACACTGTAAAAAAAATTCCGTAAAATTTAAGGTAAAAAACCGGCAGCTGTGGTTGCCGGAATTTTACCATAAAAAATACGGTAGCAATGTTTTAGGTTTTACAGTTTTAACTTAAATTTACAGTTAAATACCGTAATTTAATTAACTGATATAATGTTAATATACCAACCTATTTAAGTACTGAAATCTGTTTTGTACCTTTGTAATACACTGATAACCACCAAATGAAGGTGGTGATGAGAAAGTCACATGATGAACCAAAGCCCATCACAAACAGCTTTTAAATAATAACATATATAGAAGGTGCACAGTGTCATTCTCACAAACGCTAAACACCATCACGGTAAAACACATGAAACTGAAATAATGCAATAAACATTCATTTAACAACATTAGGTGTAACACACAACCCCAATATACAAAACTGATAAGAAAAAACTAAGAAGAAACATAGTTATTTCAACAAATGGAGTATGTGTGTAAAGAGCGATATATTTAACAGCAGTTGTAAATGGTGATGTGGGGAATCATCTGTTTCCTGACAGGCTCTTCAGACTCAGCGGCGGTCAAAGGCCATGTCAAAATGTTCAGCTGTCATCAATTCCAGCACTGGATTCAGCCATGTTCTCATTATCGGATCAGGTTGCAGCCATAATGCTATAAAATGAGACTAAAATGCACTAACATAGGGGTGAATTCACTAGGTAGTGTTGTTTATTTCCATACACTGTCTGTGTTGTCCTACAGGAATAAATCTCGATCCTTAAAAAACATACAGATATTTATCTTAAAATTTAACAAAAACAAATGAGTTGTGCCATGCAAATACTGCTGACTTCTTTAAATAAGGTTAAATCTATAATAAGTCTCATGCACACAGAGATTGTTTACTCTGTAAAGAATGACATTGATTTAATTTAAATACTCATGGCACTGTGCCAATATGAGGTTAAACAGGATTTGGTAATAATAAACCGTTTTTGCACTGAAATAAAATGTCTAATATTTAGTGAATTCACCCTTGATGTTTTGAGCACAGCTTATATGGGTAGCTTTCTGATAGCCTATAACCTTATTTTCCCCGTACTTGCGTAAGAGTGGGCGGCTGGGCGTGCCATTTGTAAATTGAATGGGTCTGGCTTCCGGTGTCATTTGCTCCCAGCTATTTTTTAGCTGTACAAAACAGCTCGCTTTGCTGCTTGCTATTGCAAACTGGTGTGTCTTACCATATTATTTTAATGTATTATCTTAATTATGAACACACTAGTTTGTAGTGCGTACAGTTTTACCGTTTAGTGCACTTTGTTATTCTTCTCGTTAACTTGTTTCCTTGCAGCGGCTAATGAACCGGAAGTCTCACACATTCACAGAAATCGGCTTACTTCCACGTTGAAAATAAGGTGGACAGCTTTACAATCCAGTAACCTCTTTAGCTAGGATATAGAACTAACGTTACCTAGATTTCAGTGCACCGTAAAACTGAAATTTACCTCCTGCTATATTACGGCTTTTCACCCTGCGCTTAGCCCGGGTTATCGTCGTTCTTCTTCACCCCATTTTTTTTACTTCAGCACCGCTTTTTACCTCTTTCAGTTAGAGTTGGTCTATTTCGTGTAGACTACAGTTTGAAACAATGCTGTGTTAAAATATTACAGCTATGTCACGCAATCGCGTGCCTCCTTTTCAAGTATTTTAAAACGGCAGGAAAATGCTACAATGTATAATTTGTTGCCCTTGGTCCAGACCATGAGCTGATTTTGAACCACAGATGTGAAAGCAGCACTATGGAGTCAATATAATGCCACATATATATGCAAAATAATAAAGTTTTGCAAAAGAAAATAACCCGCCACTAATAAATCCACCTGCATGCCTCTGCTCAACGATGGTGCCTGGATCAGTGAGCTGCGTCTCGGGCCGATGAC